CATACCACGCGCCTTCTCGTCAAGCGGCCTGACCAGCACAGGCCGTAGTTTGGCATCGGTTGGTCTCTCTTGGAAGCGAGGGTTGTCAAAAGCGAGGCAGGTTTGCTTGCCCCCTAATACAACATGTGTATGCCTGTGCATGTGCACGTGCTGGTGTGACCCCTTCACCTCTGAGTGTCCTCTTCTTCCCCCCCCCCTCCGCGGCCGCCCCCTCTGCCTCGGTCCCGCTCCTGCACGCTGGCCACTTCGCTTCTCGGTGCCCCCGTGTAGCTTCTCATCGCTGGTGCAGCCAACTCGGCCTCGCCGGCGACGAAAAAAGCATGCGTGGCCCCTGCCGAGCCATGAAGGCGCATACTCAGGAGGGAAAGAAACACACAGACACAATTAATCGTCGACTCCCAGGAAAATATGCAAAACTATGCGAAGTGGGGGGGAAGACAAGAACCCAAAAAATATGGGAAAGTATGGGAACTATTTTTATTTGTGTGTATTTATTTGTGTGTCCTGGGGTCCCTTCACATACGTGTTCCTGGGCCCATCACTTGCCTTGGCCAGGGTCCAGGGTGGACTGCCAGCGATCGCCCTGCGTCTCTCCGTCCGTCGTCGTCGTGCGTCCGGGCCAAGGGCGCCGAAGATATTGATAACAGGACGTTCCTCAGGAGGAGAAAAAACACACAGACACAATTAATCGGTGATCCCCAGGAAAATATGGGAAAATATGGGAAGTGGGGGGGGAAGACGAAAACCCAGAAAATATGGGAAAATATGGGGGATATTTTTATTTGTGTGTATTTATTTGTGTGTTCCAGTTCCCCTTCAGTTCCATGTTTGTGTCGGCGGCGGGCGAGGGGGGGAAGTGAGAATGGGGCGGGCCTTCTCAGAATTCTCGGAAGGCCCCCGGCCTTCTGAGAAGTGCTCTGAGCAGAAGGCGCGAGGGCTTCCGAGAAGCCCCGCCGCCTTCTGAGAAGGCCTCCTCCTCCTCCTCACGGATAGACCTCCTACCCTGACACGTCGACTAGCGAATTGGCCGTTTCCGGTTCGCGGGATGGCGCCGCGGCCGTCATTTTTGCGGGTCCAGGTCCGTCGGTTTTGGTACCAGGCCGTTTTCACTAAGAGGAGGTTTACTACAGGGAGGTTTGTCCACCGCCGAGTGTGCGCGCCCTCGATCTCTTTTGGCCCGCCCCCCTCGTCGTCGGTTCTGTCTTCTCTGCTGGGCGAGCGGGTGCGAGATATTGTGCGGCTGTTTCAGCCAAGCGGTGCTCAGTCGGCAGTGGGTGTCATAGGTCAAGCCTTAAGTCGGGCCTGTCCCCCTACAAAGGATTTTCGACGAAAACTCAAAAATAATATAAGAGTAGTCAAACAATAGTCTAGGGACTAGTTGTGGGGTATTGTTTGACCATTTTGGGGTATTTTGGTGGTATTTTTTTATGTTTCGTCGAAAATCGGCCTGTAGGGGGGGACGCCCGACATAAGTCAAGCCTTGTCCTCTCTGGTTGTTTGAATCCTTCCAGTGATATCCAGAGAGGCTTATTCAGACGGCGGTGTTGGAGCCGCTCGTGCTCTGACATCCATAGGTGTCCGCTCGTGCTGTGCGCGACGGATCCTCGACGTGGGCACCGTACGACGACGACGACGATGTCGACGACGACGTGGACGGCCATGACGTGCACGACCACGGCGCCTGCCCGCTCTCCGTGGCCTCTCCGCCGCGGGAGGAGTACTCCAACGCCCGGGCCTGGTTCGTCCAGGTCGCCGCGCGCCGCTGCGGAGGCCCGCCGGCGACCGCCGCCGCCGCCGCCGTCGCCGTCGCCATCGGCGTCGACGGTTGCGGGCGATGCCTCCAGGCAGCGCTTGCTCGTAGAGGTTCTTTCGGGAGGGGAAAAAACACACAGACACAATTAATCGTCGATCCTCAGGAGAACATGCGAAAATATGGGAAGTGGGGGGGAAGACAAAAACCCAGAAGATATAGGAAAATATGGGGAATCTGATTATGTGTGTGCATTTATCTGTGTGTTCTGGGGCCCCTTTGTTCTTACTTCTCCACCTCAGGAACTGGTTGGTGTCGCCGCGTCACTGGCCGTGGCCGCCTCGTGGCCGCCCGCTCGGGGGGTCCGCCGAGGTGCCGCCACATCCCTTGCTCCTTGCACCGCACAGCTTGCACCACACAGCTTTGCACCACACAGCTTGCGCATCCACCGTGCAAGAGCTTCCTTGTCGGGGTCCACGCTGGCAACCGTGGAAGGGTCACCGACATGTGGTTTGTTTTTGTCTTGTGTCTTTCGCTCCTCGGTGTTGTTGGAGGCTGTCGGAGGTCCTCAGAACTCCAGGGAGGCTCCGCAGGTTCCCGTAGTTCGTAGTCGTCGTCGATCGAGGATCAAGGTTCGAGGATCGAGGTTCGATATTTGATTGGCGGCGTTTGACATGTTCGGGCCTCTGGGGGCTTCTTGTCGCCACGACTAGATCTCTTAGAAAGTCGTGCCCAAACGCTCCCTTGGAGAGGAGCAAGTGTTGTTTTGTAAGGGGTGTCGTCGTGGCTGTCGTCGGCTCGAGGATGCAGGTTTCGGGGTGCTTTTAGTCTTTTTTGGGGGGCCTAGGGACGTCCAGGGCCTTCGAGTGCCCCAGAGGACCTCCCGAGATATCCAGAAGCCTCCGCATCATCGTCGTCGTCGGCGTCATGGCTTTCGTCGTCGTCGTCGTCGGGGAGGGGGAGCGGGGTGGGAGGAGGGGGAGGGTTGGGTAGACTTAGGCCTGATTCGGACATGTGTTGGGGCTTGCTGAGGATTTTTCGCCACGGCTAGATCCGCTTCGAAGTCCTCGTCGGAACACGCTCCAGAATAGGTCGGGGAACTGGAAGTGGAAGAGGTTGAGGAGGAGAAAATTGATGTATGATGTTTCCTGAGGCTCCTTGCCATGTCTGCATGCGTCCCACGTTTTCTGATATCTTGGTGTATCCGAGCTTTTGGGATGGTTTTCGGCTTCTAAGTGTCAGTATTTCGGAGGGGCAGGACGGCTTCACCAGATAGTATGTTTTTTCGTGAAGCCAACAAACTTAAACTCTTACGAAACCTTCCTCTCCTCCGCAGTGGGTTTCTCATGGCGGTGTTTACGTGGTCTTCTCGAGGGAGCGGAGAAGTGGGAACGAAGAGGGGGCAGGGGTGATCTAGAAGAATGGCCGTAGGGAGGGAGCTCATAAAGGATTGATTGTTGTGTTTTTTGTTTGGGCCTCCCGAGCGCCATTCATAAATGTCTTCATTCGCATGTTCCTGGGCAACCGTAGCTCCAAGTATTCAGTTGTCTTGGCTATGTGTTGGAGCCTCCAGGGCGCCAAGCATGTTATTGATCTCGCTGACCTGGAATCACTGCTGCCTCCCCCTCTGGATGTACCAAGCACACACATAAATCGTTCGAGGTAAGTTCGTCGGCACACGCGCGACAGGACATCCATGAAGATTGTATGTTTTCTGGAGATGCGAGGATGTTTTGTCACCTGGGGGGGTGCAGTTATCAAGATATGTGTGGTGCAATTCTTGAATTATTGTGCCTCGTGGGCAATCACATGGGCCTCTTGGGTTGGTGCGTATTGGGGGCCGATGTGGCCCTTCTGAATGGCATCTTTCCCCGACGGATGGGTTTTGTCTGATTTCTTGAAGCTATCGGGGCCCACCGTATTTTCGGGTTTCGTGTGGTCATTGTCCTCCTTCCTCCCTCTCATTTCTCGTCGTCTCTCCTTGCTCCTCTTCCCTATTCCATCCTTATTCCTTTTTCCCGTTCCTGCTCTTTCCCTCTTTCTGGCCCTATCTTCTCTCTCTCTCTCTCTCTCTCTCTCTTCCCCGCCCTCACACTCTCTATGCACATATATACACACATATTTATGTACATATATATATATGTATATATACACATATATATATATAAATATACGCAGATATATGTGTGTATCCTCGCTCTCTCTCTTTCTCTCTCTCTCTCTTTCTTTCTCTGCCTTTCCCTCTCCTTCCTCCTCTCCCTCCTGCCCTCCCATCCCTCCCTCCCTCTACCCCGTCCTCCCTCCCCGACTCCCTCCCTTCCCTGCCCCTGCTCCTGTCCTCCTCTTCTGGTCCTCCTCGCCTCCTCTCGCCACCCCTTCAGGGCTCATTCCGATTCCTCCCATTCGATTCGATTCGATTTCGATAGTTTCTGATTTCGATGCGAGTCGATGTCGGATTCCGATTTGGGCTCCGATTTCTCAACGGAGGCCTATCAGACTGCCGATTTCCGCCGATTCCGCGCTCCTGGAGCAATTGTTGAGGAGGGAGATTTTAAGGAGGGATTACTCTGCCGAGGAGGGAGAACTTCTGGAGGAGAACTTTGAGGAGGGTCAACTTTTTTGATCAGGGGCCGATTTTGAGGAGGGATCACTTTTTTGAGGATGGAGAACTTCTGTAGGAGAACATTTTGAGGAGGGAGAACTTCTGGGTGAGGGGCCGATTTTGAGGAGGGATCACTTTGAGGAGGGATAAATTTTGGAAGGGAATTTTGTGAGGAGGGATAACTTCTTGGTCAGGGGCCGACTTTGAGGAGGGATTATTTTTTCGAGGAGGGATAACTTTTTGAGGGAAACTATTTGAGGAGGGGCAACTTTTTTTGGTCAGGGGCCGATTTGGAGGAGGGAGAGATTCGGGCGGGGCCAGGACGCGGATGAATCCGTTCCAGAGCGTTCCCGAGCGTTCCCGAACGCTCTCCGAGCCATCCCAGGGCGCTCCGAGAGGGCCGCGGCGCCCGAGACACCCTCCAGAGCCGCCGATTCAGATCTCAGAGGTGTTCGATCTAGCCTCGCCAGGATTTGTCCTCGTCCTGGCGCCGTCTGAGGGGGAGGAGTCCTCCCCATCAGACGACGCCAGGCTGCAGTGGCTTTCAGGCTGCAGTGGCTTTCCCTTGGGGGCCACCGGGGATGTGCCAGCGGAGCCCGCAGGGGGCGGGAGTCACGGCGGGCTCCCTCGGGGGAAGCCGGGCCGCCGATGTGGCAGTTCTCTCCGGGTCTAGGGGGTTGGGGGGAGCTCTTTTCGGGGCCCCTTGGGACCGGGACGATCGAAGGGGGTACACGCCGGTCGTTGGAAGACGGTACTTTGGGATGTCCAGAGATCCCAATCTGTTCTTCAAGCGCCTTCCTAATTACCTCGATAATGGATGTGCGTCTGCTGTGGTTCGTAAAGTTCTGGAATGGCCTGAACCCAATCTGCTTTATCCGCCTTCCCAGTTCATGTTTCTACCCGTTTTTTCCGACCAACGGGTACGGTAGGTTCGTGCGGCGTTGGCGCGCCTGGGACGCCGGCGAAGGCGTTCGAGGTTGAATTCTGCGACGCGGAAGCACCGAGGGACGCGATGACGCCATTGGACTTGACGGAATTCAACTTTGCACGATCGGGGCCGCGATCGGTTCAGGGTTGAACGGTTGACGCGGTGTCAAAAACCTCTGCGCGCGCCGACGCCACACGAACCTACCGTACGGGAAGAATTGATACAAAGACCGATTGCATGATTTTCTGTGAACAGGGTTCGCCGTCGGTGTCGCCGCGGACGTTGTCCTCTTGAGACAGAAGGCCGCCTGCCCAACAGCGGCCGCGGTCGGTTTTGGACAGTTTTCGGGCATCGTACCCATGTGTATCCGTACGAATTTCGGGCGTCCAATTGTAAGCATTTTGGGGCCTTCTGGCGCCTCTTAGAAGCTCCTTTGGGGCCTCATGTAGCGCAAAACAAAATATCACGAGGCTCCGGAGGCGCGAAAATGGCGAAACCTCATTAGAACAGTCGAATCTTGAACCTCGATCGACGACGGCCTCCGAGAACCGACGGAAGTCTCCCAGAGATTCCGAGAATTCCCGAGAGCCACCGAAATCATGAAATGAAAACCGCAGAACAAGCATCGAACTCTTTTCCAACATCAGAACATCGTCGACTTCTGCGACGGCGACGACGGCGGCGGGCGCGGCGGCGGGTTAAGTGAGGCTGGCTGCCGCTGAATGGCGACCAGCTCCTCGAGGCGTTCGAGATCTACGACCACGACGGCCCTCCCCCCCTCTGTTTTGTGATGTTCCCGTCCTGCTCCAAGATGATGATCCAGCTGCCTTCCACAATTCCGCCACCGTGCCAGCGCAGCATTTTGGGCGGCAACTACTCGAGAAGGCAAGGGGGCCTGCTGGGGGCCTCGTGGGGCGAAAGCCTCAAATGCTGGGTTCGTGTTCCCACTCTTCGGCCCTTTTTGGAGCCGTCTTGGGGCCCTCCTGGGCAGTCGTGGGCGCCTCTTAGGGGCCGTCTTTGAGCAATCTTGTGGGCCGTCTTGGAGCTCTCTTCGGGGCTTCTTGAGCCGTCTCGTGGGAGTCTTGGGAGCCTCTTGGGCCGTCTTGGAGCCTCCGAAGCTCGAAAAGGCGAGGACCCTACAAACTGAAAACAAAGGCAAATCAACTGCTGTTGCCTCTCGGGGCCCTCTTGGGGGCCTCATGTGGCCTCGTTTGGCCCTCTTGAGCCTCCTGAGCCTTCTTAGGGCGGAAGGGTCGAATTGTCGGTTCGTGTTTACCCTCTTGGGCCCTTCGCCGTCTTGGAGCTTTCTTGGGCCGTCTTGGAGCTCTCTTGCGGGGGGCTTCTTGGGCTGCCACGGGCCAGTCTTGGTGGCCTCCTGGGTTGCCTTGGGACGTGAAGCTCGAAAAGGCGACAACCTGCAAAACATCCAAACGCCTAAGGAACATACACGTACGTTTGCCTCTCGAAGCCCTCTTGGGAAGTCTCTTGGGGCTCTGTTGGGACTTGGAGTGTTTTGCGGCCATCTTGGGCACCTTGGACGCCTTGGAGCGCGCCAGGGAGGTGTGAGGCAACCCCAGGAGCCTCGGGGAGAGGGGGCGGTGCATGCAAGGAAGCGCGTCCTGAGGGGGGGGGGGCTTAGGACATTAAAGAGACCCGACCAGGCAGACCTTGGCAGTCTTACACGCCTCAATGTGCCCAAGGCACGGTTGCTGAATTTCGAGCACTCAGGAAATGAGAGTCCCCTAAATTCAGATTACAGGGAATTGGAAATCTGGATTTCCATGTTTTCCAAGGGAGGTTAAGGGAGCACCCTTCAACAGCAGAGAAACTCACGTTCCTGGGTCCCCGCTCCCCCCTGGACACGACCGTTTCTGTTTCGTTCTCTTTCTCTCTCTCTCTCTCGTTCTCTCTTTCCTTTTTTGTTTGGTCTCTCTCTCTCTCTCTCGTTCCCTCTATATGCTCGTGTTGATTGTTTGATTTATTTCTCTCTCTCTCTCTTTCTTTCTCGTTCTCTCTATCGCTCTCTCTCGCTCTCTCTCTCTCTCTCTGAGTCACGTTCTTCTGTATCATCCGTATCATATTCCGCGTTCGTTCAATTTAGTTCGCTCCCCTCCCAACCATCTTCACTCGGGCATCTTCGCTATCGGTTTCGAAACCATCAGCATCTGCACCAGCATGAACATGTTTGAATCAACAAGGAAGGGGAGCGTGTATGCCATGCCCGAACTGATATATGAGGGCCACAACATACAGTACAGAGGGGGAGGGGACTGGAACAAAGAGAGAGGGGAGAGATAATAGTAGGATCAGTAGAGGGATAAGAGTAGGATAAGAGTAGCTAGGAAAGAAACTTAGCCTGGCGACGGACCCAACCATATGCAGCTGCGAGTACCGCACGGATATGAGACGAAGGAGGGGGCACGCAAACTAGTGGAGCTCCCTATGGGGCCACGAAACGTGTGAAGGGTGTGCCGAAATGGGTGGTGGGGGGCATGCGGACCCTGCCACTGGGGCCTTCGGTGGAGCTCCCTATGGGGCCACGAAACGTGTGAGGGGTGTGCCGAAATGGGTGGTGGGGAGGCATGCGAACGCAGCCACTGGGGCCTTCGCTGGAGCTCCCTATGGGGCCACGAAGCGTGTGAGGGGTGTGCCGAAATGGGTGGTGGGGAGCCACTGGGGCCTTCGGTGGAGCTCCCTATGGGGCCACGAAGCGTGTGAGGGGTGTGCCGAAATGGGTGGTGGGGAGGCATGCGAACGCAGCCACTGGGGCCTTCGGTGGAGCTCCCTATGGGGCCACGAAACGTGTGAGGGGTGTGCCGACATGGGTGGTGGGGAGGCATGCGAACGCAGCCACTGGGGCCTTCGGTGGAGCTCCCTATGGGGCCACGAAACGTGTGAGGGGTGTGCCGAAATGGGTGGTGGGGAGGCATGCGAACGCAGCCACTGGGGCCTTCGGTGGAGCTCCCTATGGGGCCACGAAACGTGTGAGGGGTGTGCCGAAATGGGTGGTGGGGAGGCATGCGAACCCTGCCACTGGGGCCTTCGGTGGAGCTCCCTATGGGGCCACGAACGTGTGAGGGGTGTGCCGAAATGGGGTGGGGAGGCATGCGAACGCAGCCACTGGGGCCTTCGGTGGAGCTCCCTATGGGGCCACGAAACGTGTGAGGGGTGTGCCGAAATGGGGTGGGGAGGCATGCGAACGCAGCCACTGGGGCCTTCGGTGGAGCTCCCTATGGGGCCACGAAACGTGTGAGGGGTGTGCCGAAATGGGTGGTGGGGAGGCATGCAAATCAGCCACTGGGGCCTTCGGTGGAGCTCCCTATGGGGCCACGAAACGTGTGAGGGTGTGCCGAAATGGGTGGTGGGGAGGCATGCGACCAGCCACTGGGGCCTTCGGTGGAGCTCCCTATGGGGCCACGAAACGTGTGAGGGGTGTGCCGAAATGGGTGGTGGGGGAGGCATGCGAACGCAGCCACTGGGGCCTTCGGTGGAGCTCCCTATGGGGCCACGAAACGTGTGAGGGGTGTGCCGAAATGGGTGGTGGGGAGGCATGCGAACGCAGCCACTGGGGCCTTCGGTGGAGCTCCCTATGGGGCCACGAAACGTGTGAGGGGTGTGCCGAAATGGGTGGTGGGGAGGCATGCGAACGCAGGAGGGAGGAGGGCGAGGAGAAGGAGGAAGAAGGAACGCGGGGACCGTTTCTTCAAAACGAGGACCCAACACCACAGGATGGTTGGGAACAAACGGAGCGAGTGAGCGAGAGAGAGAGAGAGAGAACGAGAAAGAGAGAGAGAGGGAGACAACATAACAATGAAACACATGCCACAGCTCTTTGCAACTATAGCGGGGATGATACTGCGAGAGGAGGCGAGCGAAAGAGAGAGAGAGAGAGAATAGAGAGATAATATAGGTATATGTATATATATATACATATGTGTCTATATATGTATCAAACACACATAAATAGCTATCCTGTTCATTTCCCCTCTCCTTTCCTTTTTCTCCTCGCCCCTTTCACTTTGCCGCTATTTCTCCACAGCGCGGGAATCTGGATGTTTTGAGTTTTGGCCGAGGGGAAAGGAAGGTGGTGGGAGAGGAGGGGCAAACGAGAGGAGGGAGATCACACGATCACGCCTCCTCCTCCTCCTCCTCCTCCTCCTCCTCCTCCTCCTCCTCCTCCTCCCCCTCCCTTCTCTCCTGTCCCTGTACCTCTCCTCCTCCTTCCTTTCCCTCTCCTGGCAAAAGGACAGAAATCCAGATTTCCGGGTTTCGGTGGGACCGGAGGCGGCCAACACGGGGGTGATGGTTAAGGGGGGGGGATCTCGCGGCCGCGGCCATAGCTTCCCCTTGGGATCCAGGGCGCCTTTCATTCCAATGCGTCTCTTGGCCCCCCCCACTGGGCCGCGCACATCCCTCGGGCCATGATGTGCGAACTCCCCCCTCTTGGACGCCCCTCTCTTGGACACCCCAGGCAGCAGCACCCTCCAAGACAACCGGAGCCCAGACCTCCGACGGCACGTGCTTCTCAGTCCGGGCGCTCCTCCTCGGCTTCGGTCCCCGGGGCCCCTCGTCGGGCCCCGGGGGCTCGTCGCTGATGGTCAGGGGCCCCCGAACGGTGTGGTGCCCACTCCGCTTGGTGAGTCGGGGAGGAGGAGGAGGAGGAGGAGGAGGAGGAGGAGGAGGAGGAGGAGGAGGAGGAGGAGGAGGAGGAGGAGGAGGAGGGAGGAGGGACCCGGGTCGCTCTCCGAGGACGTCTCGGGGGACACCGACCGCGCGGTGAGGTCCCTCGGAATCTCGGGGTCGCCGTCTGCCACCGCGCTCTTTGTCGGGACCCCCCTCGGATGCATCCGTGGCGGAGAACTGCCCCCCCGGGGAGAGGGTCGGGACTTCGGGGGCCGCGCACTGAGCAAACCGCATCGTGGGATGCCTGGGGACGCTGTGGGGCGAGGGGGCGGGCTTCAGGGGGGAGGTGGAGGAGGAGGAGGAGGAGCAGGAGGACCAGTGTAGACCCAAGAGTCATCAACGATGTTGGAATTAACCCTCCCTCGAAGCTCCCTCTTCACAGGCCCCTGCAACGGTTCATTTCCATTGGGGGCACTGCCTCGTTGGAAGACAACCGTGTGAAGATTTTGAAGCATGCGAAAACATTGCTCTAGGGATGTCCACGTCACGGATCAACCTGACTGCTGCGTCTAATAGATGATCTAGAATCGTACCAGAACGCCATGTTGTTCGGACTCCAACACCGCGAATTAACATAATTGTTGCACCCGCTTGATCTGGAATCTTTCCACAACATAATTTCTGGTACGTTGATCATGGGAACCCGTGAAACGCTTGCAAAGTTTAAACGAATGTACGCGGCGCTAAGGCGAGAGCCACACTTTGAAAAGGAGCCGCCCTCAATCCGTTAAACTCTTGCAATTGTTTAAAACGGATGTACGCGGCGCTAAGGCGAAAGCAACATCTTGGAAAGGAGCGTTCCTCACTCAGCGAAACTCTTACAGTAAGAAAAATCGAAAGTGCGCGGCGCTAAGGCGAGAGCCACAATGTAATCACCACCCGTCCTCAATACGCGAAACCCTTGCAGTGTTAAAAACGGATGTGCGTGACTCTGAGGCGAGAGAAACATTTTGAAAAGGAACCGCCCTCAATCAGTGAAACTCTGACAATCGAAAAAAACGAATGTGCGCGGCGCTAAGGCGAGAGCCACATTTTGAAAAGGAGCCGTCCTTAATCAGTGAAGCTCTGGCAATCAAAAAACGAATGTGCGCGGCGCTAAGGCGAGAGCCACATTTTGAAAACCACCCGCGCTCAATCCGTGAAACTCTTGCATTTGTTTAACGGATGTGCGCGGCGCTAAGGCGAGAGCCTCATTTGAAAACCACCCGCCCTCCATCTGTGAAGCTGTTGCCATTGCGTAACAGTCTCAGGCGAAACGTCTGGCCCGCCCTAAAAACTGGCCTGAGGGTGCGACAGGGGAAAATTATCCATAAGGAAATGGAATGGAGGAGCAGCAGGGGACTTCAGGAGGCGCCGGAGGCCTCTGCTGAGGCCTCCCGGGAAGACGGGAGGGCCTCTGTGGAGCCTTGTTTCCCTTCTCAGAAGGCCACCCCCCATTACGACGAGCATCGTCGTCGTCGCCGTCGCCGTCGTCGTCGTCGTCGTCGTCGTTGTCGTCGTCGTCGCTTGTCGTTCGTCGTCGTGTGCGCGCCGACAAATTACGGCCGGCATTCAGGTTGCCTATGCCTCGATGGGTTGCGAGAAAGCGTATTGCAACGTGGAGAAGGATGATATGGCTGTAGAAGATGGCGAGGAGGAGGAGGAGGAGAAGGAGGAGAGAGTTTGCAGGAGGAGGAGGAGAAGGTGGAGGAAGGCCGCCACATGCGACATGCTGATGACGATGATGATGCTGATGATGCTGATGATGATGATGAGAATAATGATAACACGGTGATAGCGATGACGATGACGATGGCGATTGTGATGATGATTCTGACGATGATGATGATGATGATGATGATGATGATGATGATGATGATGATGATGATGATGATGATGATGATGCGGATGATGCTGACGATGATGACGAGGATGATAATGATGATGTTGACGATGACGATGCATAATATGATGATGATGCTGGTGATGGCGGCGGTGCTTGAGATGCTGACGATGTTGATGATGATGACGATGATGCTGAGTACGATGATGATGCTGATGCTGATGCGGTTTATGGTCCTGATGGTGCTGATGCTGATGATGATGGTATTGGTGATGATGGTGATGCTGATGCTGATGGTGATGGTGATGGTGGTGGTGGCGATGTTGGTGATGATGGCGATGATGGTGATGTTGATGATGGTTGCGGTCTTGGTGGCGATGATGATAAAGATGGGATTGTAGATGATGGTGACGATGATAAGGATGATGCTAATGTCGATGATGATGACGGTGATGATGACGACGACGACGATGATGATGATGATGATGATGATGATTAGGATGATGATGTTGATGATGATGAGGCTGAGGATGAGCATGATGATGATGAGGAGGAGGATGATGGTGATGATGATGATGAGGAGGAGGAGGAGGAGGAGGAGGGTGGTGGTGGTGGCGACGACAACGAGCATGATTAATATGACGAAGAGGGATAAATAATGTCTCTTCCCTTCTCCCCCCTCCTCCTCTCCTCCTAACTTCTCATGTGCCTCTGC